GAGGTGAGGTGAGGTGCCGTCCCGTCCTTCACTTCTCCCAGACGAACCCTGTTCTGTCGTTTCTTTCTCTTTTCTGAGAGGAGCGGAGTCCTGTTTCGGGGAAGCATATGCAGCCCGCTGAAACCCCAACGGGGCAAGTTCCGCCAGCGAGTGCGTGGCCGGGTTTGTGGGACGGACACTCGGGCAGAAGAACAGTTCGTCCACCGGACCACCAGTGACCCGTCGTGGATCCCGGACACTCGTGGGGAGCCTTTACGGCCCCTCGCCCGCGATGATTACGATCTTGACGTACGTAGCAGATCTCGTGCGTGTGCCGGACGATGAAATGATGATTCGTCCATGGACTATGCATGCAGGTGGTGAGCTAGTAGGTCATGGCAAACGGTCGTGATATATTATTGTTATCCTGACGGGACAACGGAACTGAATTATTGGAATTCGCATCGTGTGCATCGTTGTCCAATGAGCATCCATCCCCTTTGCTTTGCCATCGTCTGTCCTATCTGGGAGAAAGGCGTGAGCGAGATGCATGCACTAGCTGCTACGAGCGCGATCTAGATCGGATGCCCGAGGCTTTCGAATGGGACATCTCCGTGGGTGCTCGGGCACGATGCCATACATGTCTTGCTGCTCTTGCAAGCAAACCAAGTTTTAGCTCCAGCATTGAGCTTCATGCCCTATTGGCATGTTCCCGGAAAACAAAGAATAAAGGGGGAAATTAGCCAGGGAGGCAACAGAATGTCTTTCTCTCAACCGAAAAAATGCCATTTGTCGCCGCTAACACGCGTAATATTTGTTCGGTCTCAAAAGCTAATGAGTGAGAAATGGCCCAAAAAAGTACACGATCGTTTGCAATGACCTCATATTTATACTGGCATCTAAGCTAGATATGGGCATATGGCTCAAAAACCCGCCCGGGACAAGATTTTTCAACCATCTTGGATGCCTTTTTTATCAACATGCGGGATAATACAGTAATACATATAAGACTTGGTAGACCGGTGGAAGTAATAAAGCTCTTCATATATTCGACCTGATAGGTCACAGTCACAAGCATCACACCTACGTGGTTTTCTTTTACCCTACAAAATAAGCACCTCATATCAGGTGTCACCACGACGTGAAAAACCATTTTATGCACAAACCGATTGCCAATATACTAAACCTGGCAAGGTTTGTCTTTAGACATAGAGCAGTTTTGCTCAACCTCAAAAGTAATGAATATGGAATGGCCCCAAAATCACACGAACGTCTGCAATGACGTCATATTATCCCTGCGAAAACTATTATCACCGATTATTAAAGCCAGACAACATCTCAAAAATCATACTTGATAACATTTTCTAATCATCTATGATGGCTTTTTGTCGATACAAACAACAATATGATAATAGGTATTGGGCCTGATAGGTCACATTCACAATATCTGTTGAGCATCACACTCACTTGATTCTTTTTACAATAAAAAGCAATTAAATTGCAACCAATGCGCTACAAGAGGTTCTGATTTTTGAGCCATGAACTGGACATCATCTATTGTAGCCAGCAAAAACTTAAAGAAAAAGCTAGCCAACAAGATAACAAAATGTCATTTGTTTCTTAATCCTTTATCCTTGTTAAACCAGTTAATGTTTACTTAGTCTTGCAAAATTAATGAGTAAAAAATGGCCCAAAAGTTCAAGATCGTTTGCAAAACCTCATATTATTATTGACCATTAAAGGCTGACGGCTGAAAACCCCATTTGTCACAACATTTTTTTATCATGTGTGATGACTTTTTAGCAACACGAATGACAATATAATAGTACTCGCTCCATTTCAAAATGTGGTGCATATAAAGTTTTGCATAAGTCAAACATATCTATGTTTAACCAACTTTATAGAAGAAACTATCGACATCGAGAGTATTAAAAATGTCGACATCTACAATATTAAATAGTTAAAATATAAAAGTGCATTTCATTGTGGATCCAAAAATACTAATTTTGTATTGTGGATGTTGTTTTTTGATACAAATTTGGTCAACCTTTGACATGTTTAATTTAAAAAACCTAACACACACTACATTTTGGAACAGAAGTAGTATGTACTCCCCTTATTTCTTTTTACTCCGCTTATAAGATTTGTCTCAAGTCAAACTTTGTAAAGTTTGACCAAATTTATATTGAAAATTATCAACGTCTACAATACTAAAGATATACAACATAAAAAATAATTATATGGTGCATATAATGATACTGGTTTGATATTCTGAATGTTTATATATTTTTTCTACAGTCTTGGTCAAACTTGATGAAGTTTGACTTAAGACAAAATTATATGCAGAGTAAAGAAACAGAGGGAATATTGGACATGATAGGTCGCTGAAGGTAATAAAGCTCTTTGTATATTCGACCTGATAGGTCACGGTCACAATAATACTCTTAGTATCACACTGATGTAATACCATACAAAAGTAAGCAGCTCATATCAGCTGTTGCCACGAGGTAAAGAACTTTGTTATGCACAAACTGATTGCCGATATTTTAAACTGAGCAAGTGGCATTAGTCATAGATTGTAGTTAGATGGTGCGTTCTACCAGGGGCACGTCGGCAGGGTACACAAGTTCTGTTAGCGAAACCCACCGAGAAACATTTATTAGCATCTGCTGATCGATCTACGACTGGACCCATCTTCAAAAGACAGAACTTAATGTTACACCTAACTCAGACAGAGACAGAAAATAAAATATCAGGACCTACAATTGAATGTCGAAACAGCTCAAAAATATTGAAAAAACACCACAAAAGCTTAGGAACTAAAATGTAAGCACATGCGTAGCATAGTAGAAGGTCAACTTGAATAGAAATAGTAAGCACTAAATTACTACAACAAAGACTCATCCTATATTCTGATTCACCTTCTTTCATGGAACTCAAGAAGTTACTATTTCAGGGACATGGAGTTTCTGCTCCCGAGCTCAAATGCACCCTTGTGAATCAAAAGAAATAGTAAATAAATTTAGAAACTTCTGTATTTCTTTTGACAACATTGTTGAATGTTCTACACACCTACAATTTTCCATGAAGAGAAAATATTCCTAATGCTCCGGGGAAAAATAAAACAAATGCTCCAAAAATTCTACTTCTGAAAGCATTTTGGACAGCAGATTTTGTTGTTTTTGCCTAGACCAAAATTGGAATGTTTTGAATTTTGTAACTATTTTTTTATTTTACTGTTCATAAGGTTGCATTTGAGCTCAGGATTCGAAGGACACTTTCACTATTTCAGTTTCCTATGAGTCAGAGAACTAATCATATGGGCAATCTATCTCATAGAAAAACTCTGAAGAAATGTGACCGAATGATTGATGATGAAAAACCAAGCAGTCATCATGTGGAAACCAATGATAGTTCAGATAACCACAATTTGCAGTTGCCATGTGACTTAGTGCGTACGAAATCATTTTCTAATACAACAGGTCAGTTAGAATCAAAACCTGTGATTATTCCCAAAGTGACGCTAAGAAAAGCTTTATCTAATACCTCCGTGTCCACAAAAACGTCTTATATTTTGATACAGAGGTTATAGTAATATATATCTGGGAACGGTAATGAACTAATGGTAGGAGAGCAGTTTGTCTATTGATTGAGACAGTACTGCAGTTCACAAATAAGCAACTTTTTAACATCTCGACATAGTCCTTAAGATGTAAATTTGACTACTAAATTTTAATATAATGTATGTATAAGACCAACGGAAACTATCAGAATTTGAAAATCTTTTTTGATCGATGATTTTCAAGTTTCCTGTCCAAATATTTTTTAAACTATATTGGTAATCAAAGTTTTAAAAGTACGACTGAAGTTATGTCTAAAACGTTACTTGTTTTGTGAGCTGGCGGAGCAACAGCCAGCGTGTAACCATGTCCTCACCACGCAGAAGAAAACTGGAGGGAGTAAATCACCCACATAACACTTGTTTAGGACAAGCAACAAAGTCTTGCATTTACTCAGTTCCTAAATCCACCATTTCTCTCTTCCTGCACGTACAGCCGAAATTGGCCTGTGAGGAAGCTTAGCTACCTAAGAATTTATGCACTGCAGTAAAGCAATTTAAGATATATTTTATGTTCCAAGTAAGTAAAAACAGTAGGTCAATTTTTGGAGGAAGTAGGAACATACCGTTAACTCATACTGAACCTTTGGTCTTGCCTGTTGTGTGAAGCTATGAATGGTAATGAAGGCTTGCCAGCATAATCTTCAAAATAGGCCCTTCCGACAAGAATCACAAGGACCGTAACATTATCTGCAATGTAATCCAGCAAGAAAGCAACCTAAAGCATAGGCACTCAGCCGGCATATCAATCTGTATTTTATTTCCGGATGTAACAGTAGATATGCAGCATCTTGCACTAAAACATATACATCAACTCTTTAGACTACTCACAACTGCACATGGTGGAATGGAGCAGGAATACCAAACATTTAGCATGCACATAATGGGATTGAGCAGGAACAACACCAAGAGGTTCTCCCATCCATTGTTCCATTAAGATCCAAGCAGGAAGAAAATATCTCTTCTAAAATTGCTAAAAAATAAAAATCTCTTCTAAATACATTCTTGAGTAGAAAACATTCAGTTCGTTCAGGTAACAACACAGTAAAGCTACATAAGAAATAACTGTACATAACTAAGAAACAACAAAGTGATGGGATTACCGGTAATGAAGCAAACATTCAGAAGTTGCAGCATGAGCAAAATTACAGAAACTAAAGCAATAATATTTCTTGAGAATACATCCTTCAATTAACCAGAGTAACTTCATGCCGAGTGACGAATGAAATTAAATTACAAAACTGCTACAACAATATACTGCTCTCGATCAACCTTGGTTGCTTCATTGCTACCCCGGAGAAGAGTAGGCCATTTTTGTTCGCACCTGATGACTCCATATCTCAATTCCAGGAAGCCAGCTTCAAAGGTGGATCCCAGAATTCCCCGTGTTAGAATATGTTCTTCACGATGCGGCCGTCTGGTTTCCGCCAACCCAATACTGCTTCACAGCATACAAGACCTTCTCACGCACTAGGGGGCCGTCCTCGTGGTCAACTAGCTTCGTGTTCCATCTCATGCCCCGAGCGAGTTTGTTCACCTTTGTCAAGACATCGACATCGTCACGCATTATAACAGCACCTTCAGGCCTCAAGATGCGGTCCATCTCAAGGAGGATGTCTTCCATGCTGCACCTGTTTGGTTTTAACATACAAAATGAATCAGCAGTGGCAATCTTACTTATTGTTATACCAGGTGACAGAACTGATGCCATGGGACAGAAGCAGCTTACTTATTGTTATACAAGGTGAAAAGGCCACTAGCATGGATAAGATCATAGGTCCTTGGATAAGTAGAGAACGCTTCACACCTGACATGGAATTGTGAGACATATCAGTAAGTTCATGACAACAACTTTACTGAGCCGAGATTCAGGCATAACAAGCCATACCAGTCATGGTAAATGCCAATCAATCCTCTCTCATAAACAGCCCCCAGGGTTGCAATCTTTGCTATGGTTGGCACCACATTCATCACCCAAGATTTTGGGGACTCGATCGCCGCAGCAAAACCCCCAAAACCTGCATTCATGTCCATGATGTTTCTGTACCTACCAGTAAGTAGATACTTGTTCACATTGCTATAAGCCTTCACATGCTTCTTCCACATTTTGTTGTCTTTCTCATATGCTTGAGATGAAACCCCTGGAATTAACCCATTAGAAATTCTTGGAGGAATTGCGTTGAGCCTGCTTGGGAAGGGCTTGATTGCTCCTCCGGCAACTTCACTTGGATTTTCTACATCAGGAAGAGGTGTAACACATGCCTTCATCTTCTTGTACCTGGTGTTGCAAGAATAAGTGAAAAATAGGATAGGAGAGAGGTTATATAAATTATTACCCAGAACTTCTAACAACATGTTAATACATCAACACATCTAAGTAGGCAAAGCTAAAATAATGCATTGACCAGACAGTATACCTATTGATGCTAGACTATCGTAATATATACTCTGAATCCTGCTAAAGGATATTAAGCTAAAGTTAGCAATTCTGTCCAATAGATTGTTTCACAAAACTACAGTAGAAACATACCAGACATCATCTGCATTTGTTGATTCACACATCTGCACAGTGGATTCTTCTAGCCTAGAAGGACAGGACTCGGTATTTACTCTTTTCCTCCATATTGCCGTCTCACCCTTCTCCGAGACTTTCTCCCAACATAGAAGCTCAGCCATTTCCTCTATCTTGTTCTGCTCTGCCTCAAGATCCTCCTTTGTACGTTGCCAACCCTTGTAGTTCGCCTTCCAGTTAATTGGAGGACCTGACAGCACCCAGTATCCACCAGGTCTTAGAACCCTATCAACTTCCATCATATAGAGTCCATCTGCATATCAGCAAATACAGAAAAAAATGAGAAGTAGAACAAGAACTCCATCAAAATGGCACAAGGTATTTACGCAATAACAAAATGTATCAAACCCATATATTGGATGCACAGTATAGAAGGATACATGGTTAGAGGCTCACCATTCATTCCCCATGGAATCAAGCACCTAGAACAATGGGCCATATCAAAGGCTCTTGCTGGATAAGGGAGTTTAATTGTGCCAAGAACACCAATAACAGCTGGGACACCTCTCTCCAGAGCAAACTGTACTTGGGCTTCGTGTGAATCTCTGGGTGCAAACGACATGGCTAAAACATTCCTCTTTAACAAGTAAGCTCCCCAGCTAGCCACCTGAAAAAAATCAGAATTTTAGGACATGAAGAAAGTCAGAAGAAGCTCACGAAGTAGCAGTAAGCAATATACAGTTTGATATCTCCGCTTACCCCGCAACCAGTGTCCAATGCAGTCCTGACGGTCCCGTTGGCAATCGGTATAACTGATGCCAGTTGATCAATGTACTTATCAGCACCTTGAGGGAACTGTGTCCCTCCACCGGGGAATCTGAAGACGTTGCCCTCGTACTGCACCCAGTTCTGTATGGCTTTCTCGACCGTCAAGCTCTTATAGGGGCAATTCGCAAAAGGAACATAGTCCCGACTTTTGGGCCATGGGAATGGAGCAACATATCCCTTAGGCGGTGGTACGAGGCAGTGCAGCTTTTCTTTCTGCGGTGGGCAATGCCGCTCTCTGTAATTCATGTTCTCCCGAGGAAATTTCATAGCTCTATTTTGATCTTGGCAAGGTGTATAGTCCGTGAAGCGGTCCGGGCATGGTTTAAACTTCTTCACCGGCGAAACAAGATCGCCGGAGCTGCCTTGTTTAGAATGGTGTGTGTCGAAGCTGAGGTTCGGCAAGATAGTGCAATCGGTCCGCTTCGTGATCTCCAGGGCAATGCTGTCCCCCTTTCCGAAGCCACTCTTCTGCCACGCCCCGAGGATGTAGAAGAAGCAGCACAAGCCAATCACTATGCATATAGACACAGTGCTTCTAGTCCTGTTGTCCGCAGGACCCCCCTTGACGGCCATTATGGTTTATCCTGAGAATTGCACACTGAATAAGATTGTCTTTTTTATACTACTAAATTATATGGTCCATTACATATATTTTTCCTAAATCTGACGCAACCGCAATTTCAAGTCTTTTTTTTTTTGCGGGGAACCGTAATTTCACCTGAGGCAATCATAGACGGACGATAATAAACAGGAAAGAAAGCATGTGGCTTTCGTGTATCACATCAGGTGTATCCTAACCACCAAACTTTACCAAAATTGTTGAAACAACAGATCTCTAAAATCCCACACCATGTCGGCAGCAGGAGAGGTGAAGCGCGAGGCTCGGATCTAGGTGGCGTCGAGATCAGTGGAGGGGCGAACTAACCACGGGATGAAAACAAAACAAGCTCATACCTCACAACCCAATGGCGAAGGATTGCGATGTCGCGGCGGAAGGAAGGACGGAGCTCGGAGCTGCGGAAGAATGGCTCGCGGGGGGAGAATGGCTCGCCGGCCGGATCCCGGGTTACCGCCAGCTCCTAGGCGAACAGCAGCTGCAACGGCTGGGAGAGAACCGGGGCCAAAATCTCGGGGTTTTAGAGCTGCGTTTCCCCCGATTTTCCGAGGGCGGTGGGGATTCGCCCAACCCCGAGCTTGACAGTTCTGCTCCACCTCCACCGACGGGTCGGGGAGAACCGAGGGAGTATGTTTTTCGCCGTTGGATTTCTGGGGAGAATAAAGCGGAAAGGCGGTAGAAATCTTGGGCTGTGGGGCCGTCGCTTTCGTGGATACAGATCTGTCTGCTGCCGCCCTACGGGGTTCGCGGATCATGCACGCCCGTTTACCCGACTGGAAGATTAAAAAAAACGACTGGAAGATACTTTTCTTTTTGCATTGACCATTTAAATTTAAATCCCAAACACTTTTTTGTCACAGTACAGACGAAGCGCTCATATATACTCGCTTACCCTCCCGGTATGAACGCATGCATGCACACTCTATCCCTATGAGCACCTCCGAAAGACTCAGCCGGCATATCATCTTGAGATTTTACGAAGTCATCGTAGGCGCCTCGCAATCGACGGGAACGTCTCCTCCCACTGAACGTGCATCATCAAAAATCTTGAAATAAATACAGAATAAATGCGAGCACCAGGACTTGATACCACAGCTTGAACCAACTACAAGTCTATTAAACCTAAGAAGAAAAAACTCAAACACTAATTTTTTGGGAAACAACCTGATAACACTCTCAATTACATATAGTTAAAATGAAGGAGACATGCACAAGCTACCAGAATGGAAAATAATTCAAAACATTGCAAACAAATGTATGAAAATTACTGTGTATACCTAATAATTAAGAGTCAAATTAGACGGGCGTGGTAACACACGCCATCAAGATCTGAACCTTACAAGTCCCCTCCCCCCCTCCCCCCTCCCCCTCTCCTTCAAGAAAATCAACTTCTCAATAAAGCCATCCCTCGCCGGTCAAAATATCTTATTTTTGTCTCAAAATAGAGCAAGCGTTGAGAGGGTGTAGAGGAGCATGAGACAAGGGATACTGGAGGCTACCACTCAATGCATGTGATCCACAAACCATCAGCAATCGCCAAGATTGCCTCGGCTACTCCATCGTCGAAAAAGGAAAAATACAATGGGATCAAAAGAGAAGGAAAGAAAGGAACTGGAGGAACGGTTGGGCGTAGTTGAACCATGGGGGAGGAGGGCTTGGCTGGGTGCGGCTCACTGGGTGAGGGTGCGCGGTTCGGCTGGGTGCGGCTCAACTAGGTGGGATGTGTGGTTGGGCTAAGTGCAGACGGACGTGGCTGGGTTCCGTTCGATCATCCCAAAACCAAAACAAACCAAAAAGGCAAAGGGTAAACTAAATCAACGACCGTGGCATACAGAGTAAGCACCAAATCAAATATAATATTTTTATGGCATAAGTTTGTTTGAATTGGATAAAAATGTGGAGAGAAAATGATAAATGGGCGATTGTTGTCACAAGCATGAATCTAGGAGGTAAAACAAATGAAATTCACTCAAAAATCTTATAAAATGTGATCAATTTTTGCTAAGTTTGACTTATAAAATTAAAAGATATCTTTACTAATACTTTCTTCGTTTCAAAATTTTTTGTCCTACATTTGTCCAAAAACGGATGTATCTAGTTATGTTTTAGTGTTAGATACATCCCTATCTAGACAAATTTAAGACAAGAATTTTGAGACGGAGAAAGCATTTGGTAACGGGTTCGGGTCAGGCATGGGCGCGCGTTTGTTTAGAGCAACTCCGGCGCTCCGTTTCTAGAGGTACTACTACTTTTTGTTTCTTGAATTTTTCAATTCTTTACTAGGGTACAAGGGATCCGGCATCCGTACCAATAACGTGGAGGTGAGAAAAAACTCCCATACGCTTTGACTTGCCTGCTCCTAGTAGTACTAGCACCCAGCAACAGTACGATGAGATTGCGCCATGACCTAACCAAACGCGCCAACGCACGAACTTAAATCGTGTGGGGTCCCTGGCCGGTGACCAGCACTTATGGGGTCACGTGCCCACTGGGTACCGAGTGATTAGTGAGGCAGTGATAGTGAGTGGGTTTGGTTATCGAGCATGAGCTTGCTGCGCGCCTCGTGGGCACGGTGGGGTTTGAACTGATCGAGCGCCGACGTCCGGTGAGTGCGTCCGTCAACCCGCGAAAAATAAAAACAGTGCGTCGGTCCAGCTTTTTTTTAGAAGAAGTGCGTCAGTCCAGCTAGCGAAGAATGTCCAAGCAGGGGAGGCCTGAAGAGTTTTTCTCGCTGGAGGCGATACCTAAGGCGACTGGGGTTTAGCCGGCCCGCCGCCGGCCGCCTCCGTGGCGGCGGCGAGTGCGCCGGTCTCTCTTTCCCAAGTCGGCGCCGGTGGTGCTGTCGCTGGTCTTCGTTTCTCTGCTACGAGTCTCCAGGTGCTTGCACCCTAGGTGTTCGTGAGTAGATCTGAATTTTTGATCCATCATACTCTGCGTGAGGATTGAGGAACATGCATGCACGGGGCTTGATGGGTTCAGAGTGAAGGTATGGTTCAGCGTATGTGTGACTGGATGTGATGATGTGCTGATCTCAAGGGGGATCGCCACGAGCCATGAAACTCATAAGCTGGAATTGTCGGGGACTCCTCGGTGCCCCGACAGTTCGCTCGCTGCTGGACATCCAACGGCAACACTGATCAGATGCGTTCTTTCTGTCTGAAACGCACTTGGATGTTGATAAGGCAGAAACGGTGAGAAGGAAATTGGGGGTGGATGAGATGATTGTGGCACCAAGTCCTGATGGAAGAAGGGGCGGACTGCTGCTAGTCTGGAAGAAGGAGGTTAGGATCTACTCCCGGGCTTTCACCCTAGATTTCATTGATGTTTCGGTACAAGAACAGAACGGGGATACATGGAGGCTGACTGGTATTTACGGAGAGCCTGGCTGGGATAATAAAGAACGTACATATCAGCTCCTAAGAGACCTTCATGATCAGTCCAACCTGCCGTGGGCGGTTATTGGGGACTTCAACGAGATTCTCTTCTCCTCGGAGAAAGAGGGAGGAGCTCCCCGACAGCAGACTCGACTTGAGGCGTTCCAAGACGCGCTCTCATACTGTTCTTTGGAGGATGTAGGTTATACCGGTGACAAGTTCACCTGGTTCCGTGGTGGACTGAAGGAGCGGGCCGTCTCAAATTCTGGATGGATGGCCTTGCAGCTTATGGCGGGTCTGAGTAATTTGGACATGGGGAAATCTGACCACCGGCCAATCTGTTTGGATACTGAATATCTCGCAGGGGTGGCTGCTAGCAGACCAAAATACGCACGCAAATTTGAAGCAAGATGGCTGGCAGAGGAAACTCTCGAAGAGATAGTTAAAACGGCCTGGCTCAAAGCAACCATTCAAGGTTCAGTAAAACAAAAGCTAGAATCTGTCCATAAAGACATGCATGATTGGGACCGTAAAGTCTTGAAAGGCCCAAAAGCAAGGCTGAAGAAAGCTCAGAGAGACCTTGAAGAATTGATGCGAGCACCTTATAATGAAGAGGTCAAAATGAAGCAGAAAGAGCTCTCAGTTCTGATTGAGAACTTACTTGATCAAGATGAAATATACTGGTCACAGAGGGGCCATGTGAATTGGCTCCGACGCGGCGAGCGCAACACTAAATATTTCAACCAGTTCGCGTCAGCTAGGAGACGTAGAAACCTGATCAAAAAACTGAGGAATAATAATAATGGATGGGTCGAGTGGAATGTTAACCTCGGCCCTCTCATTCTTGATTACTTTGGTAATTTATTTAAGTCTGATTCGGGTGTCATTCAGCAGGACATTCTGCAGGTAGTAAAACCCCGGATCACAGCTGAGATGAACAGAATGCTAATCGCTCCATTCTCAAGGGAGGACGTGCGGAAGGCGTTGTTTCAGATTGGAGACATGAAGGCCCCTGGTCCGGACGGCCTGCATGCTCTATTTTTCAAGAGATTTTGGCATATTCTTGAAGAGGAACTAACAAACGAGGTTCTTGATGCGATTAACAATAAAAAAATTCCTAGTGGTTGGAACCATACAAATATTGTCCTGATCCCAAAGGTTGAGAACCCGGAGGTAATCACTCAATACAGACCTATTAGCCTGTGCAATGTTGTGTACAAAATCATCTCCAAAATGCTGGCAAATAGGTTGAAGAAAATCCTACCGGATGTTATTTCACCAACCCAAAGTGCTTTTGTTCCGGGTCGGCTAATTACGGACAATGTGTTGGTTGCCTATGAGTGTTTCCATGCAATTAAGAAATGGGAAAACTTTATTTTTGCCACTCTAGCTTTTGACCACTTTGCTTATGCCACTCTAGAATTTGACATTTCACTTCTACCACTCTTAGTTTTTAAGAATACATCACAATTGCCATTCCGTGGCAAAAGTAATAATTTTATAGTGGCAATTGTGATACTTGTCAAAATCTAAGAGTGGCAAAAGTGAAATGAAAAGTTATTGGTTTTGCCACGGAATGGCAT